ATTTATGCTCGTTGGAAAGGTGACATTTCGCAGTAAAAAAAATTCTTCTGCTGTTTTTTGTTTGGTGCATTCAGTTGTGAGTTACAGCGTGTTAAAAATGGAAGTGAACAAAGAGAAAATTCGGTACATTTTACAGTTTTTCTTTGACAAAGGCGAAAATGCAAGCCAGGCGGCTAAAATTGTGAATGGTGTTTATGGTTCCGATACTGTTACAGCCAATTATGTGCAATTTTGGTTTCGTAGATTTCGTTCAGGAATTTTTGATGTTAAAGATGCACCTCGCACAGGTAGGCCGGTCGTCAAAAATGTCGATAAAATCGGAGAAATGATCGAAGTCGACCGGCATGTTAGCAGTCGTAACATCGCCCAGGAGCTAAAAATCGACCATAAAACAAAAGAAGCTCGATGTTTGGGTGCCACACCAATTAACAGAAAAAAACATGATGGATCGAATTTCCATCTGCGAAGCCTTGGCCAAACGGAATGAGATAGACCCATTTCTTAAACGGATGATGACTGGAGATGAGAAATGGATCACATACGATAACCCTGTGCGAAAACGATCGTGGTCAAAGAGCGGTGAGGCACCTCAAACGGCCAGGAAGGTTTTGCTATGCATTTGGTGGGACTGGAAGGGGATTATTTACTATGAGTTGCTTCCATATGGCCAAACGCTAAATTCTGATCTCTACTGTCAACAACTGGACCGTTCGAAGATAGCGGTTGACCAGAAACGGCCAGAATTGGCCAACAGGAGAGGTGTCGTGTTCCACCAGGACAACGCTAGGCCACACACATCTACAGTGACTCGCCAGAAACTTCGGGAGCTTGGTTGGGAAGTTTTAATGCATCCGCTGTATACAGTCCGGACTTGGCACCAAGCAATTTATCATCTTTTTCTTGCATTGCAAAATTTCTTTAACGATAAAAAATTGGAATCTCGGGAGGATTGTGAAAATCGACTACTAGAGTTTTTTGCAAATAGAGACCAGGACTTCTATGAGAGAGGCATTTTGAAGTTACCTTTAAAATGGCAACAAATCATACAACAAAACGGTGCATATTTGACCCAAATCGGACAATCCGAAGCATGTTAAATAAAGTCCTGAAGTTCATATAAAAATAATGGATTTCTTTTTCCCCAAACTAATATATTATCGTACCATAAATACTAGCAGAAACAATAAGATATGCAATCGTGTTATATTGCAAAGACATTCATCAAAGATTTCATTTTCGAAACTAATATTAAATAGTTATGTTCCTTGATTGCAACAAAAATTTGCACTATGTGCCAAATTGTGAGAGAAAGTGTTAAATTAAAAAAAAATTCAACTAATTAAAAAAAATTTTTTTTTCAATTACCAATAAGTATTAAAATAACCAATCAGACAATAAGATCAAAAATTTAAGAAAAAAATAATAAAATAATTCAATCTGTACAAACATTTTTAAGACTGTGAATTTATTGAAAGAAAAACACTGTTACTTGTGGTGTAGGAGGAGGTGTAGGAGATAGAGCGGTGAGTATATTTGATTCGAATAATCTAAATAGGAGAGTCACTAACGGGCATCAAAAATCCGCATGATATCTTTAGGAAATCACTTACAGTAGTTGAATTCTTTGTTGTCTATATTACAATTGAAATTGAATAAAATATTCAAAACTGAATAAATTATCTAAAATATTCTACAATTAAAGTGAATTGTTATCTACAGCTTGCAAACATATATAGGCACTTAAAGCAACTTCAATGTCCAATACCACAGTAAGAAAAACCGCTGATAATGCAAATTGTTCACGCTAACTGAATATTGACTTCAATTTCTTCTAATAACAGAATATTTACTTTTTAACCGAAAATTCACTTCAATTTCTCACACTTCAAGAGAATCGAAGAGTTGCAGAATTAATGAAAACGACTCTGTGCTCTCTCCATTCTTCACACATGGTAATTTTTGTTTGCTACGACTTGGCAATTAGAACCCAACGTCAGTAGGAAAAATATTTCATGTCCTGGTGGTCCTTGTTTACATGCCGGCAATTTTATATCAATTTAGCCTTAATAGCGATAATCGAAGAATGTCGAGTATACCTCCGTTGGGAGAAGTGTTAAGAAATGCTCTTCTGCTGAAGAAAAAGAATCGGCTGCTCTTTACCTTTTTTGATTAACCTCTTTTGATTAACAATAATCAATTCAGTATACAATTTTTAACTCTAATATATAGGGAATATAGGACAGCTAAAAAGCCCTCACTCAAGACGTTCTCAACAACCCAAAAAAAGAAAAGCTTGAGGATGAGGACTTCTATTATAAAGAAGGGAAGAAGACTGGAATTCGTTGCGATATTCTATGCAGAGAGAAATCTTTAGCATGTTTTTTGCCAGCCGCACAAGACGGGGCAACTGCAGGCTATCTCCACATGTTTCCGTTAACATGACTTATTTTGTAAAAAACACGTATCTTTTTGGCTTAGTCTGCTCGCGCTCCATATCACGAAAAAAAAATTAAAAAGCGGAAACAGATAGCCAGCGACGACAAGCGCGCATGATCATTGGGATGTTTCTACATCTGCATATCGTATACCGATCACGACATCTCCCGCCAATGGAGAATGTCTAAGTCGGTTTTTTTATTTTTTAAATTAAAACTTTAATTTTTTTCATTCTTAGGCAGCGGAAGCGGCAGCAACGATATAGAAGAGGCAAATGAACTTTCACAAATTAAACTTAAGTGGTTTAATCAATATACTTCATTTATATATATTTTCCTTTACAGCACATCAAGATTAATTTTAATCCAAGTGTGCTGAACTGAAAGGATCCATTTTACTATGCTCATTTTTTGACGCAAACATTAATTAATTATCATTGTACACCGAAGTGAGAGAGTTACCGTAGCGGGCATTTTTGTAACGCATAAAAATATTTCGTAAGATGTTTCTGGACGGCTTGAATACCGGAATCAATTCAGTCAATTTGCTTGTTTGTTGAGCGCTTGTCTGCTGAGATCACCATTAACAACGCTTGCTTTTACTTTTTTTTGTTATAGCTCTTGTCCTATTGAATTCAAAATTCAGTGAAATGGGGTCAATCACCCTTTAAGGTAGAGCTTCTGGCTTAGACACTTAAATTAAGTATCAAATTTGATCTTAAATAATTGATCTAAATTAATATGCCTTTTAGTTCTTACGATAGCTTAAGAAATGCTTTAAGATATCTCCTCGAACATTTATGTAAAGAAACAGGTACCTCATTGCATTTAAACGACCTTTTAGACACGTCTTCATTGGAGTTACCTCTGAATGAGGTTTTAGAGTGAAATCCTATTTTGGTAGCTCGTTGTCAACGTCTAAGAAAAGAGAAATTAAATCAGGCGTACGCTAAAATGACCAAAAATGTAGATTTCACTTGTAAGCATTATCCCTAAGATTTTTAGGAATATATCGAAGAATTAACAGGAAATATTCAAAAAAATGCGAAAATCGAACGCTAAGTCTCTAAAAATTTACTAAAACTAGTCAGGAGATGTTCAAGGGAAGATAAATGCTCTTTTTTCTCACACAATTATATATATAATATTATATATTATATAAAATCATTTGTACGAATATATCGAAGAATTAACAGGAAATATTCAAAAATATGCGAAAATCGAACGTCAGGTCTCTAAAAATTTACTTAAACTAGTCAGGAGACGTTCAAGGGGAGGTAAATGCCCTTTTTTCATACAATTATATATATAAGATTATATATTATATAAAACCACTTGAACGAATATTATGGCCTGTCTTCTTATTTGGGATCTTCAAAGATTTCACACCTTCCTCGATCAACTTGAACGCCACAGTTCAAAGGTAAAGTGTTATGACATTTTTTGTCTTCACCACAAGAAAGAGAAGCGTTTTCCCAGATTGTCGTAAAGTTTCTTGGTGGCATTGTCAACTATTCTTTCATGATTCTTTCTTTCACATCATTTCAATATACTCAGCAGTTTTTAATTTTCCTTCGAATCATCAACAATTGATTGTTAGACATAAGTTGTTTATACAGACAGGCAATGGTTTTATATACTTTGGATGAACTCTCTTTAGAACAGTTCCTACATGATCCTCCGGTTTGGAAACTAGTTCAACTCAGACGACTATTGTAAATATTGTAGTTTTATAAAAAACTACGAGCTACAAAAATTCCTGAATCTCACGGTAATAACGTTTCTTAAAATACAATTTGGAATTAATGCTATAGATAATTGAGAAACTCCTATTTGCAGACCATAAAAAGTAACTGTGGGCAAGTAGTCTAGACTTAGGTAACGCACATTTGGTGCGGCGATCCTTATATATGATAAACTTTTGTTCTCCTACGCTTCTAATTTTACAAATTGTGTGCTTAAAGCTTGTAGCTGTACAATTCACACAAATAATGGTGATCCTATCTTGTTTGCATCTCTTCCTGTACAGATCTTTCGGTCTGTACGTCTAATCTTAATTTTCTGAGTACCTAGAGAGCCCTTAACGATATCTTCGGTAGTTGTCATTGTTTAATTAAAATCAGTCTTCATTTGCAACCTATTGCCCGCAACCACTCGCATACACTTGTTCCAAAGTACATTAAATTCTCTTTGCTTAATAATCCTATATATAGCATTTCAAATACCATCCAAATCAATGACTCTTTTGGTTGTTTCTTTGATAAATCCTGAAAGTCTTTCACTAATGCTCTGAGGGGAAAGGCTTCTAAAAAATCATTCCCCCTTTTAATCTTTGGTGGAACACCCATGCAATTGAGTCGCCGCCAAACTTAAACTCGCCATAAATAAATGTAAAAGATCTCCTTGTAAATATAAATTTCAAATTTTTGGCCGACGTTAAAAAGGGATACACATATACTCTCAGGCAGGAAAAACGTAAGAGCTGGAAACAATTTTGTGAAAGGGTCGATAGCGATAATAAGGAATAACTAAACCAATTCAAAAATATTTAAAAGATTAGTTCTTTAATTGTATAAATCCCACAAAGATATTACACTGTCCATTCCCGCGACGGCCATGATTGGAGATTTCCATATAGTGACCTTATCTGTTGAATATGAAATATCCATGATTGCACCGGTTTTATGCTCAGTTAGCACCGCTAATGGCCTTAAGCTTTTCCAGGAGAATATGCGTATACGTCCATCCAAGCCACCGGTACTAAGAATTTTTAAGTCAGAACGAATGCGTATGCAATTAATGCCTGGATTTTTGACAGACATATCACCACATGGTTGCAGTTTCATCATTTCACGTTGATAAGAGAACACTGTGAGATTTTCAGCTGAAAAATGCAAGTGGTCAGTTTCTGATAATACGTAATCATCTAGAACTCACAGGAGCCACCGATTATACCACGGTTGGTACAAGGATCGTAATCAAGGGCCATCGAGTTTTCTCGCATAGCATGTACATCTACAGCTTCACCCAAATCGATATCCCACGTTATGAAGTGACCACTTTCGTAGCCGGCTAAAACGTAATATTTGGCAGCAAATTTGAAGGCTTTTAAACAAACAACCATTCCCAATTTAGGCGATTGCGTATCCTTAGTCGGCACTAGTGTTTGTGAAAAGCCATTCGGGTCATTGAGATGAAATATACCTATTGAATCCTCTCCAGACGGATAAAAAAGCAAATTATCAAGTAAGACTGATCGACAAAATCCTATATGTTGAGTATTAAGTGTGCGATGGCGAGTATAACCTGCATTTTCCATGCACCAGAATGCTACAGTGCCATATTTCTCCTGCGAGATTAGTAAATCGTGGGTATGATGTAAACTTATAATTGGTTCTGAGCCAACACTAAACCTTAAGCTGGATCGGTTAGTTTGCAGATCCCATAATAAAATATTTCCTTTTAATGTACCAGCTAACAAACGGTCATTTTGATGGAAACACAGTGAGTTGGGACTAACCTTATCGGGACAACGAAGTACGTAAACAGGATCTGGGGGCAGAACAGCCATTTTAACTTTCCATCTAATTTTTTCTTTTTAATGATTAGGTAAATATTAAAAACTAGTAAGTGTTCGCGATTTATAAGAACTTTGATATTCCGAGCAGGGTTATCATAGCTTTCAATTTGCATATACTTTGGGATTAGAGAGATGAATATCTTGGTGAGGAGAATTAGGACACTGAAACAATAGTAGACGACGCAATCGATATGCATTATATATCATATTATATATACCGATATGCATTCTATATTAAACATACTGCCCAGACGTGGGAGTATAAGTGAACTCCACCATGTTTTTATCCGTCAAATCAATGAATTTTCGCTTCTGTTCGCACGAATTAACTAAGCAAGTAATTCAAAAAATAAAACCCACCCTTGTTTGTGTTAACGTATCATTTTTTAACAAGAAGTGTGCAAATCTATGTATATACCTAAACAAATAGCATTTTTTTTTAATATTTTTTGTATATGCCTAAAACTGGATGATTTGCTAATTTGCCGAAAGGCTCGTAAAAATGAAATAATTTTTCGGGATGCGCGGCTTTATTGGTGTGCATACGTTCAATTTTGAATCCCGGACCCACAAAAAAGCTGAAGCTTCGTTGTGTCAGCTCTATCGTACGTGTTTTGTGTCTAGGGTGCGTGAACAAATAAACAAAACAAAAAGAAATAAACGTAGAGGGTGAAGTAAACTCATCTCAAATTTAGAAGCTCATTTATGCTTGTTCTGCACTAATTTAAGTATAATACGTTATGTGATGTAAAATTTTTGTGTATATCCCATATTATTGTACAAAGGTTGCAAAACAAATGATAAAACCTATTAATTTACAATTTAAGACATATTTGTTAAATTGAAGCATCTAAGCAAATATTGTGTATAGTCTAACTGAATCAGGTAGGGTCCATCTTGACGTTCTTTGTTTTAACTCCTTTTCCTTCCTTCTTTATTTTATTAACTAATCGAAAATATAAATTAATACATTAATCTTTTATTGGTTGTTTTTTTTATATATCTGTTTAGATTTAAGTTGAATTTTTTTTGCTTACTTTTGAAAATACACGGTTTTGTTTATATTTCTGTTGATTTCTTTTTATGTCTTATCAATAGCAGTCTTTTATAGTGTTTACCACTTGGGACCTGGGACTATTTAGCTGAAAAATGCAATAACGCGTCAGTATGTGTTTTAACCTACACAATACAAACAATTAGCAAGCATGTAAAAATAAAAAAATCAACATAACTGTAGATAACCGACGTATAAAAGGGATAAACAAATAATCATTATTATTGATTAGCACACTAAAAAATTTAAAAGTAGTTAATAAGAAATAGCACGCTGATAGACTTTGTTGAAAAGATTGGACAAAACAACAGAATTGCTGAATTATAAACGTAAAAAAAAAGACATATAGAGGGCTAATATAATTCCTATTTTCATGGCAGAGTTTCAACTTTGCCGTCTTTTTACACGATTTTTTGGGAATTGCAGGAAATGCAGGGTAATGACGTGACTGAAAATTTTATGAGATTCACATAGGGTTTTCTTATCATTCTTGGGTAAATTGAAAAGCAGAAAAAACAAGCAAGTTTTTGTGTGTATATAGTTCCGGCTGATAAATTCAAAAATTGCAGGTGTTTTGCTCTTTGATAAATTAACAAACATTGATGAAATGTGAACGTACCTAAATTTACCTAAATAGAACCACGAGGCTTAAAATCGTTCGAAAGTTTACTGGGAAGCAAATGGACACTCCCAACACACACTTGGATAAACACTTCTCGTTTAAGAATGTTACGTAAAGTAGTTTTGAGTGCGTTTTGCCAATTGACGGCGAGTATTTATTGGCTATTAGTATACAAAAAAATGGACGACAATTCGTATGTAAGATATGGAGGTTGTGTTTTTAATGTATTAAGGCACTTAACACTGATTTCTGAACGGTCATCTATGATCAAAGCAAGCTCTACCGCACAGATATCAACCCGCGAACAATGATTTGGCAATCGCGTTTTTCAGCTACTCGGATTTCTCGAAACGAAAATCAGATGTATTTATCTTAAAATTTTTTGGTGTAGGTTTTCTTGAAACGACATCTTTCTTATAAATTTTTGGTGGAGGTTTTCTTGAAACGAAAATCAGATGTATTTTTCTTATAAATTTTTAGTGTAGGTTTACTTGAAACGAAAATCAAATGTGCGTTTCTTATAAATTTTTAGTGCATGTTTTCTTGAAACGAAAA